TACATTAGATTTTTGTTTAGTTTATAATTCGTGAAATTAAATTTGAGATAAATGTAATATATAATTTTTGAAAGAGCGTTAAAAACTGTATCAGAAAAAGGCAGGTAATTTTTTCTCAATTCAATTTCCAAATAGAATGTACTCCAGGCATCAACTTAATTTAGACATTTTTTGTTACATTAGATTTTTGTTTAGTTTATAATTCGTGAAATTAAATTTGAGATAGATGTAATTTATACATTTCGAAAGAGCGTTTAAAACTGTATCAGAAAAAGGCAGGTAATTTTTTCTTAATTCAATTTCCAAATAGAATGTACTCCAGGCATCAACTTAATTTAGACATTTTTTGTTACATTAGATTTTTGTTTAGTTTATAATTCGTGAAATTAAATTTGAGATAGATGTAATATATACTTTTTGAAAGAGCGTTAAAAACTGTATCAGAAAAAGGCAGGTAATTTTTTCTTAATTCAATTTCCAAATAGAATGTACTCCAGGCATCAACTTAATTTAGACATTTTTTGTTACATTAGATTTTTGTTTAGTTTATAATTCGTGAAATTAAATTTGAGATAGATGTAATATATACTTTTTGAAAGAGCGTTAAAAACTGTATCAGAAAAAGGCAGGTAATTTTTTCTCAATTCAATTTCCAAATAGAATGTACTCCAGGCATCAACTTAATTTAGACATTTTTTGTTACATTAGATTTTTGTTTAGTTTATAATTCGTGAAATTAAATTTGAGATAGATGTAATTTATACATTTCGAAAGAGCGTTTAAAACTGTATCAGAAAAAGGCAGGTAATTTTTTCTCAATTCAATTTCCAAATAGAATGTACTCCAGGCATCAACTTAATTTAGACATTTTTTGTTACATGAGATTTTTGTTTAGTTTATAATTCTTGAAATTAAATTTGAGATAGATGTAATATATACTTTTTGAAAGAGCGTTAAAAACTGTATCAGAAAAAATCAGGTAATTTTTTCTCAATTCAATTTCCAAATAGAATGTACTCCAGGCATCAACTTAATTTAGACATTTTTTGTTACAATAGATTTTTGTTAAGTTTATAATTCGTGAAATTAAATTTGAGATAAATGTAATATATACTTTTTGAAAGAGCGTTAAAAACTGTATCAGAAAAAGGCAGGTAATTTTTTCTCAATTCAATTTCCAAATAGAATGTACTCCAGGCATCAACTTAATTTAGACATTTTTTGTTACATGAGATTTTTGTTTAGTTTATAATTCTTGAAATTAAATTTGAGATAGATGTAATATATACTTTTTGAAAGAGCGTTAAAAACTGTATCAGAAAAAGGCAGGTAATTTTTTCTCAATTCAATTTCCAAATAGAATGTACTCCAGGCATCAACTTAATTTAGACATTTTTTGTTACATGAGATTTTTGTTTAGTTTATAATTCTTGAAATTAAATTTGAGATAGATGTAATATATACTTTTTAAAAGAGCGTTAAAAACTGTATCAGAAAAAGTCAGGTAATTTTTTCTCAATTCAATTTCCAAATAGAATGTACTCCAGGCATCAACTTAATTTAGACATTTTTTGTTACATTAGATTTTTGTTTAGTTTATAATTCGTGAAATTAAATTTGAGATAGATGTAATTTATACATTTCGAAAGAGCGTTTAAAACTGTATCAGAAAAAGGCAGGTAATTTTTTCTTAATTCAATTTCCAAATAGAATGTACTCCAGGCATCAACTTAATTTAGACATTTTTTGTTACATTAGATTTTTGTTTAGTTTATAATTCGTGAAATTAAATTTGAGATAAATGTAATATATACTTTTTGAAAGAGCGTTAAAAACTGTATCAGAAAAAGGCAGGTAATTTTTTCTCAATTCAATTTCCAAATAGAATGTACTCCAGGCATCAACTTAATTTAGACATTTTTTGTTACATGAGATTTTTGTTTAGTTTATAATTCTTGAAATTAAATTTGAGATAGATGTAATATATACTTTTTGAAAGAGCGTTAAAAACTGTATCAGAAAAAGTCAGGTAATTTTTTCTCAATTCAATTTCCAAATAGAATGTACTCCAGGCATCAACTTAATTTAGACATTTTTTGTTACATTAGATTTTTGTTTAGTTTATAATTCGTGAAATTAAATTTGAGATAAATGTAATATATACTTTTTGAAAGAGCGTTAAAAACTGTATCAGAAAAAGGCAGGTAATTTTTTCTCAATTCAATTTCCAAATAGAATGTACTCCAGGCATCAACTTAATTTAGACATTTTTTGTTACATGAGATTTTTGTTTAGTTTATAATTCTTGAAATTAAATTTGAGATAGATGTAATATATACTTTTTGAAAGAGCGTTAAAAACTGTATCAGAAAAAGGCAGGTAATTTTTTCTCAATTCAATTTCCAAATAGAATGTACTCCAGGCATCAACTTAATTTAGACATTTTTTGTTACATGAGATTCTTGTTTAGTTTATAATTCTTGAAATTAAATTTGAGATAGATGTAATATATACTTTTTGAAAGAGCGTTAAAAACTGTATCAGAAAAAGTCAGGTAATTTTTTCTCAATTCAATTTCCAAATAGAATGTACTCCAGGCATCAACTTAATTTAGACATTTTTTGTTACATTAGATTTTTGTTTAGTTTATAATTCGTGAAATTAAATTTGAGATAAATGTAATATATACTTTTTGAAAGAGCGTTAAAAACTGTATCAGAAAAAGGCAGGTTTTTCTCAATTCAATTTCCAAATAGAATGTACTCCAGGCATCAACTTAATTTAGACATTTTTTGTTACATGAGATTTTTGTTTAGTTTATAATTCTTGAAATTAAATTTGAGATAGATGTAATATATACTTTTTGAAAGAGCGTTAAAAACTGTATCAGAAAAAGGCAGGTAATTTTTTCTCAATTCAATTTCCAAATAGAATGTACTCCAGGCATCAACTTAATTTAGACATTTTTTGTTACATTAGATTTTTGTTTAGTTTATAATTCGTGAAATTAAATTTGAGATAGATGTAATATATACTTTTTGAAAGAGCGTTAAAAACTGTATCAGAAAAAGGCAGGTAATTTTTTCTCAATTCAATTTCCAAATAGAATGTACTCCAGGCATCAACTTAATTTAGACATTTTTTGTTACATTAGATTTTTGTTTAGTTTATATTTCGTGAAATTAAATTTGAGATAAATGTAATATATACTTTTTGAAAGAGCGTTAAAAACTGTATCAGAAAAAGGCAGGTAATTTTTTCTCAATTCAATTTCCAAATAGAATGTACTCCAGGCATCAACTTAATTTAGACATTTTTTGTTACATTAGATTTTTGTTTAGTTTATAATTCGTGAAATTAAATTTGAGATAGATGTAATATATACTTTTTGAAAGAGCGTTAAAAACTGTATCAGAAAAAGGCAGGTAATTTTTTCTCAATTCAATTTCCAAATAGAATGTACTCCAGGCATCAACTTAATTTAGACATTTTTTGTTATTTAGATTTTTGTTTAGTTTATAATTCGTGAAATTAAATTTGAGATAGATGTAATATATACTTTTTGAAAGAGCGTTAAAAACTGTATCAGAAAAAGGCAGGTAATTTTTTCTCAATTCAATTTCCAAATAGAATGTACTCCAGGCATCAACTTAATTTAGACATTTTTTGTTACATTAGATTTTTGTTTAGTTTATAATTCGTGAAATTAAATTTGAGATAAATGTAATATATACTTTTTGAAAGAGCGTTAAAAACTGTATCAGAAAAAGGCAGGTAATTTTTTCTCAATTCAATTTCCAAATAGAATGTACTCCAGGCATCAACTTAATTTAGACATTTTTTGTTACATTAGATTTTTGTTTAGTTTATAATTCGTGAAATTAAATTTGAGATAGATGTAATTTATACATTTCGAAAGAGCGTTTAAAACTGTATCAGAAAAAGGCAGGTAATTTTTTCTTAATTCAATTTCCAAATAGAATGTACTCCAGGCATCAACTTAATTTAGACATTTTTTGTTACATTAGATTTTTGTTTAGTTTATAATTCGTGAAATTAAATTTGAGATAGATGTAATATATACTTTTTGAAAGAGCGTTAAAAACTGTATCAGAAAAAGGCAGGTAATTTTTTCTCAATTCAATTTCCAAATAGAATGTACTCCAGGCATCAACTTAATTTAGACATTTTTTGTTACATTAGATTTTTGTTTAGTTTATAATTCGTGAAATTAAATTTGAGATAGATGTAATATATACTTTTTGAAAGAGCGTTAAAAACTGTATCAGAAAAAGGCAGGTAATTTTTTCTCAATTCAATTTCCAAATAGAATGTACTCCAGGCATCAACTTAATTTAGACATTTTTTGTTACATGAGATTTTTGTTTAGTTTATAATTCGTGAAATTAAATTTGAGATAGATGTAATATATACTTTTCGAAAGAGCGTTAAAAACTGTATCAGAAAAAGGCAGGTAATTTTATGAAAATTTACTTTTCAATTCTCTTCTCTAGTAAACAAAAAAAAGTAAGTATAAGTTAGTTTTATTAAGTTGCTATTTAAGCGTTTAGAATCTTAGCTAAGCTTATAGTCATTATAAATTCTTCACTCTTGTGGTGGCTTATATTCTGGCTTTTGCTTAGTATTTTCTTGTCGTTGATTAGGTATTTTTCTTTTTTCTTTCAAAATTTTTTAAAATTTCAGTATGAAATTTTTTTGTTCGTCCAAGCACAAATCATTAGAGGAAGAAAAGAAGAAGGTTGAGCAAGACAAAAAGCAAAATATCTTGGATAAAAGAGCGAATGATGCCTTGAAGCGCGAACTTATGAAGGAAAAGCAAGAAGTTGAGAAGACAAAGAAGGAACTTAACCATGATAAGAAACTTGTAAGGCCTTAGCAAATCTCTAAAGTATTTTTGTTTTAAGCTATCTTCTAAACTTGAACAAGTTGACCAGACGACCAATCATCTTCTTGATGTTGTTGCTGAGCACACTGCGCTGATGAAAGTGACAAACGATAAGATTGAAGAGGTTTGAACTTTAAAAATTTTTTAATCTTTTTTTTTAATATTTCAGTTCACAACTAAAATGGCAATCTTGGAAGGAATTCAAGCAAAAATGAAGGAGATGGAAGATATTCATCGTCGTCTGACTAAGGCGGAAGGTGCGCTTGACAGTATCAAAGACAGCATGGTTCGTCAAAAGGAAAAGAAAAAGAAGAAATAGAGAGGATATATATTCGATATGTGATATGGCGATATGTGATAATAGGCGTATGTGATTTGTAGGTAGTATTTGCGATTTGTAAAAATTCTCGCTTTATAAAAGTTATTCTTTCGTTAAAAAGTTTTTTTTCGTTTTTCGTTATCACAGCTCTTTTTAGTTATCCATAGGTTGGGACGAGGGCTGAAAGTCCAAAGTGAACTAAAGTTATAGTATGGGTTGTAAAAGGGGTGCAAGAAGGGCCGAAAACCCCGAAGTGGCCTAAAGTGTCAGGATATTACTTAAAGATGGGTGGACCAAGGCTGAGGTCCGAAGTGACCTAAAGTGAAAGTATAAGTCCTAAAAATACTAAAAAAAGTTTTTGAGCTAAATTTGGATAATTTTATTTTTATCAGAATATCGAATAAATTTTACAAAAATAATACTAAAAAAAGTTTTTGAGCTAAATTTGGATAATTTTATTTTTATCAGAATATCGAATAAATTTTACAAAAATAATACTAAAAAAAGTTTTTGAGCTAAATTTGGATAATTTTATTTTTATCAGAATATCGAATAAATTTTACAAAAATAATACTAAAAAAAGTTTTTGAGCTAAATTTGGATAATTTTATTTTTATCAGAATATCGAATAAATTTTACAAAAATAATACTAAAAAAAGTTTTTGAGCTAAATTTGGATAATTTTATTTTTATCAGAATATCGAATAAATTTTACAAAAATAATACTAAAAAAAGTTTTTGAGCTAATTTGGATAATTTTATTTTTATCAGAATATCGAATAAATTATACAAAAATAATACTAAAAAAAGTTTTTGAGCTAAATTTGGATAATTTTATTTTTATCAGAATATCGAATAAATTTTACAAAAATAATACTAAAAAAGTTTTTGAGCTAAATTTGGATAATTTTATTTTTATCAGAATATCGAATAAATTTTACAAAAATAATACTAAAAAAAGTTTTTGAGCTAAATTTGGATAATTTTATTTTTATCAGAATATCGAATAAATTTTACAAAAATAATACTAAAAAAAGTTTTTGAGCTAAATTTGGATAATTTTATTTTTATCAGAATATCGAATAAATTTTACAAAAATAATACTAAAAAAAGTTTTTGAGCTAAATTTGGATAATTTTATTTTTATCAGAATATCGAATAAATTTTACAAAAATAATACTAAAAAAAGTTTTTGAGCTAAATTTGGATAATTTTATTTTTATCAGAATATCGAATAAATTTTACAAAAATAATACTAAAAAAAGTTTTTGAGCTAAATTTGGATAATTTTATTTTTATCAGAATATCGAATAAATTTTACAAAAATAATACTAAAAAAAGTTTTTGAGCTAAATTTGGATAATTTTATTTTTATCAGAATATCGAATAAATTTTACAAAAATAATACTAAAAAAAGTTTTTGAGCTAAATTTGGATAATTTTATTTTTATCAGCATATCGAATAAATTTTACAAAAATAATACTAAAAAAAGTTTTTGAGCTAAACTTGGATAATTTTATTTTTATCATTATATCGAATAAATTTTACAAAAATAATACTAAAAAAAGTTTTTGAGCTAAATTTGGATAATTTTATTTTTATCAGAATATCGAATAAATTTTACAAAAATAATACTAAAAAAAGTTTTTGAGCTAAATTTGGATAATTTTATTTTTATCAGAATATCGAATAAATTTTACAAAAATAATACTAAAAAAAGTTTTTGAGCTAAATTTGGATAATTTTATTTTTATCAGAATCTCGAATAAATTTTACAAAAATAATACTAAAAAAATTTTTGAGCTAAATTTGGATAATTTTATTTTTATCAGAATATCGAATAAATTTTACAAAAATAATACTAAAAAAAGTTTTTGAGCTAAATTTGGATAATTTTATTTTTATCAGAATATCGAATAAATTTTACAAAAATAATACTAAAAAAAGTTTTTGAGCTAAATTTGGATAATTTTATTTTTATCAGAATATCGAATAAATTTTACAAAAATAATACTAAAAAAAGTTTTTGAGCTAAATTTGGATAATTTTATTTTTATCAGTATATCGAATAAATTTTACAAAAATAATACTAAAAAAAGTTTTTGAGCTAAATTTGGATAATTTTATTTTTATCAGAATATCGAATAAATTTTACAAAAATAATACTAAAAAAAGTTTTTGAGCTAAATTTGGATAATTTTATTTTTATCAGAATATCGAATAAATTTTACAAAAATAATACTAAAAAAAGTTTTTGAGCTAAATTTGGATAATTTTATTTTTATCAGCATATCGAATAAATTTTACAAAAATAATACTAAAAAAAGTTTTTGAGCTAAATTTGGATAATTTTATTTTTATCAGAATATCGAATAAATTTTACAAAAATAATACTAAAAAAAGTTTTTGAGCTAAATTTGGATAATTTTATTTTTATCAGAATATCGAATAAATTTTACAAAAATAATACTAAAAAAAGTTTTTGAGCTAAATTTGGATAATTTTATTTTTATCAGCATATCGAATAAATTTTACAAAAATAATACTAAAAAAAGTTTTTGAGCTAAATTTGGATAATTTTATTTTTATCAGAATATCGAATAAATTTTACAAAAATAATACTAAAAAAAGTTTTTGAGCTAAATTTGGATAATTTTATTTTTATCAGAATATCGAATAAATTTTACAAAAATAATACTAAAAAAAGTTTTTGAGCTAAATTTGGATAATTTTATTTTTATCAGAATATCGAATAAATTTTACAAAAATAATACTAAAAAAAGTTTTTGAGCTAAATTTGGATAATTTTATTTTTATCAGAATATCGAATAAATTTTACAAAAATAATACTAAAAAAAGTTTTTGAGCTAAATTTGGATAATTTTATTTTTATCAGAATATCGAATAAATTTTACAAAAATAATACTAAAAAAAGTTTTTGAGCTAAATTTGGATAATTTTATTTTTATCAGAATATCGAATAAATTTTACAAAAATAATACTAAAAAAAGTTTTTGAGCTAAATTTGGATAATTTTATTTTTATCAGAATATCGAATAAATTTTACAAAAATAATACTAAAAAAAGTTTTTGAGCTAAATTTGGATAATTTTATTTTTATCAGAATATCGAATAAATTTTACAAAAATAATACTAAAAAAAGTTTTTGAGCTAAATTTGGATAATTTTATTTTTATCAGAATATCGAATAAATTTTACAAAAATAATACTAAAAAAAGTTTTTGAGCTAAATTTGGATAATTTTATTTTTATCAGAATATCGAATAAATTTTACAAAAATAATACTAAAAAAAGTTTTTGAGCTAAATTTGGATAATTTTATTTTTATCAGAATATCGAATAAATTTTACAAAAATAATACTAAAAAAAGTTTTTGAGCTAAATTTGGATAATTTTATTTTTATCAGAATATCGAATAAATTTTACAAAAATAATACTAAAAAAAGTTTTTGAGCTAAATTTGGATAATTTTATTTTTATCAGAATATCGAATAAATTTTACAAAAATAATACTAAAAAAAGTTTTTAAGCTAAATTTGGATAATTTTATTTTTATCAGAATATCGAATAAATTTTACAAAAATAATACTAAAAAAGTTTTTGAGCTAAATTTGGATAATTTTATTTTTATCAGAATATCGAATAAATTTTACAAAAATAATACTAAAAAAAGTTTTTGAGCTAAATTTGGATAATTTTATTTTTATCAGAATATCGAATAAATTTTACAAAAATAATACTAAAAAAAGTTTTAAGCTAAATTTGGATAATTTTATTTTTATCAGAATATCGAATAAATTTTACAAAAATAATACTAAAAAAGTTTTTGAGCTAAATTTGGATAATTTTATTTTTATCAGAATATCGAATAAATTTTACAAAAATAATACTAAAAAAAGTTTTTGAGCTAAATTTGGATAATTTTATTTTTATCAGAATATCGAATAAATTTTACATGGATAATTTTATTTTTATCAGAATCTCGAATAAATTTTACAAAAATAATAGTAAAAAAGTTTTTGAGCTAAATTTGGATAATTTTATTTTTATCAGAATATCGAATAAATTTTACAAAAATAATACTAAAAAAAGTTTTTGAGCTAAATTTGGATAATTTTATTTTTATCAGAATATCGAATAAATTTTACAAAAATAATACTAAAAAAAGTTTTTGAGCTAAATTTGGATAATTTTATTTTTATCAGAATCTCGAATAAATTTTACAAAAATAATACTAAAAAAAGTTTTTGAGCTAAATTTGGATAATTTTATTTTTATCAGAATATCGAATAAATTTTACAAAAATAATAGTAAAAAAGTTTTTGAGCTAAATTTGAATAATTTTATTTTTATCAGAATCTCGAATAAATTTTACAAAAATAATAGTAAAAAAGTTTTTGAGCTAAATTTGGATAATTTTATTTTTATCAGAATATCGAATAAATTTTACAAAAATAATACTAAAAAAAGTTTTTGAGCTAAATTTGGATAATTTTATTTTTATCAGAATATCGAATAAATTTTACATGGATAATTTTATTTTTATCAGAATCTCGAATAAATTTTACAAAAATAATAGTAAAAAAGTTTTTGAGCTAAATTTGGATAATTTTATTTTTATCAGAATATCGAATAAATTTTACAAAAATAATACTAAAAAAAGTTTTTGAGCTAAATTTGGATAATTTTATTTTTATCAGAATCTCGAATAAATTTTACAAAAATAATAGTAAAAAAGTTTTTGAGCTAAATTTGGATAATTTTATTTTTATCAGAATATCGAATAAATTTTACATGGATAATTTTATTTTTATCAGAATCTCGAATAAATTTTACAAAAATAATAGTAAAAAAGTTTTTGAGCTAAATTTGGATAATTTTATTTTTATCAGAATATCGAATAAATTTTACAAAAATAATACTAAAAAAAGTTTTTGAGCTAAATTTGAATAATTTTATTTTTATCAGAATCTCGAATAAATTTTACAAAAATAATAGTAAAAAAGTTTTTGAGCTAAATTTGGATAATTTTATTTTTATCAGAATATCGAATAAATTTTACAAAAATAATACTAAAAAAAGTTTTTGAGCTAAATTTGGATAATTTTATTTTTATCAGAATATCGAATAAATTTTACATGGATAATTTTATTTTTATCAGAATCTCGAATAAATTTTACAAAAATAATAGTAAAAAAGTTTTTGAGCAAATTTGGATAATTTTATTTTTATCAGA